TTAACCTCAACCGAGGAGTTCGTGCCTAAGTCATAAAATCGACCAAATCAGTGTAATAGTTGGCCACTTTTATTTATGTCATATTTGTCATCTTTCCGTGCTGAGATTTTTGATGAACAGTGGATGCTATCTTGTTCCTGTTACTGAAATTCTTAAATTTTGATGACACACTATGTTGATGAGCTGGTTTGTACGAATTTAATTTTAATTTTCTTTGATATGAAAACATATATTCTTCAAATTTTTATTCCCAATGTAAGCTTTGCAAAAATATGAAGCAAAATGACTGTCAACAAAAATATGGTGACTGCAAATAAATTCCAATAATAACCATCCTTAAACAAAGCCCCACTTTTATGTTTCCATCAACCTACTAGGTTGTAAAAACAGCCTAAACAAATTGAAGATCCTGTTTGGCTTGGTTTTGTTAAAAAATTAAAAATTAAAGTTTCTTTAGTAAATTCATATAAAAGTCGATGAAATATGTTATTGTAAGTTGATAAAAGTTGTGGGTATCATAAAATGTGTGATTGATACTGAATTTAAAGAAAAATTTGATTTAAAAAATCAGGATCAAACGGGGGTGAAATCGTAGTTTTGGAAAACCGGTACTAGAATGCAATAAAACAGTCCATGAAGTAGCTTCATTTGCCTTATTTTAGCTATTGAGTTTATTTATTGAACCGATTGTATTTTTTTTTTAATTTGTGGCGCCAATTATTTGACATGACACTTCCAAAAAAATAAATTATTTAGATCAAGTGATCTGACTTGGTACCAAAATTCAACAAGCTCAAATGAGCAAATCAATTCTTTTAAAATTCAAACAAGGAATTATATCCAAGATTAGTGACTTATATCATTAGTTGTATGAAGTAATTCATAATTATGATTTGATTCTAGCAGATTGTTAGTCCACATAATTTGTCATGTTTTGTTGCTTGTATGTTTAAATGTGCATTAACATAATTCTCATTTTTAACTCATTTGAATTATTTAAACTAGGAGGGGACATTTTAATCAAAAATTTAAAAAAAAAAAAACAAAACAAAAAAAAAACAAAAATGGAGATTCCAGAACTAACTGGACAGATCGATTCTTGATTCTTGAATTGAAACTGCGAGTACCCAACTTTGAAATCAAATTTTATCATTTTTTTTTAGTTTTTTCACTCTGATCCAATGATCCCAACTCAACAAGTAGCAAATTTGTAAAGCCCATTGTTGCATAGCCTAAGTAGTAATCAATCATTTGAATATTTGAATAATTTCACTTTAGTTTATAGCCACTTTTGATCGTATTTTACGCACTGATTGCTCTATAAGCCTTTGAATACTATTTTGTGGCGTATCTATAATAAATTAAGAAAATATTGAAATATATATTTGGTAACATATTTTCTCTTCTAATTCTGCTAAATATTGGGAAGATAATTAATATTATCGGCTAAACTTTTCTTTCATTTTTTTTTTTTCAAAACATGATACAGATGAATCAAATTCAAACCAAAACCGACGGTTTGAGTTTAAAATTGGTTCTAGTAATTATATGGACCTGAACGATTGCATTTACAAAAGGGCAACTTACAAATATACTCTCAAAATTAGAGGTCTTTAGAAAAATCATATAAAAAATATTTTGAAAGTAAAAAATAGTGTGTAGAATTAAGTGTAAAAAGTGACACAATATCACTCTTTTTATTAAAAAAAAAAAAAAGTGACGTTACGTCACTTTTTAAAGTTAAGTATCACTTTTATTAAAAAGTAATGTTTGTCACTAAAAAAGGTGACAAAAATCTCAAGAAAGTGATAGAAAATAAAAAAATAAAAAGTAAAAGTTCTGTATAAAATTAAGTGACACAATGTCACTTTTTTATTATTAAAAAAAAAAAAAAAGTGATACGATGTCACTCATTTAAATTAAGTGTCACTTTTTTTAAAATGACATACAATATCAATAGTATTCAATACAATGTTAATACGTCAATACAATGAACATTCTTTTATCTTGTAGGATACATAACTTGAAAGAAAAATTACGAAATTTCAACGAATGTACCATGGTACATTTCAAATGACTTAAATATACACTCCACAATCATTCACAAAAAACAAAAACTTTAGAGCTATGGACAAACCTTTGTGCCATAACCCATCATCCATCCACTGCAACACCTCCTCTACTAACCTATCTATATCAGCTATGGACAAACCTTTGTGCCATAACCAGGGTAAAAAAGTGCTATAAGCAATGGGTGTCATTTTGAACAAGGAAGGAAATCATATTTGTTGATTCTTGTGTTACAAAAAGATATTAAAAAGAAAATTAGTACTTAAAACCAAAAACCAAAACCTAATAATCAAAATTCTCCTCTGTCTCAC